GCTTTGGTTACTTTCGTTTTCAACTTTGCAGCATTATTGTTACAGTAAACTCAATCTTCAATAGTTTATAATCCCAGACACCTATGCGTCGATTATAAGAATTTATAAAAAATGTTTCCAATATTACAACACCAAATGACGAAATGGTAAGTATCTTGGTGCAACGATGCACGTGCATGATTTCTCGTTTTTTATCAGAATTACTATTGACGCCTTTAACCATCGTAAAGACAACGTACCCTCCGAAAATCCTTTATTTTATTACACGTAATTATTATACGTCATCAATGAAATTTTTTTCAGTTAAGATAACTCTAAAATGCTGATTTTTTTTTTAGCTAAGTTTAGTAGTTTTCGTCTGAATTAAAAAAAGAAAAATAATTGTAGTAGGGTTCTGTGATGAATGACAAAGAATATTTTCCAATTGGAATGTAAATCCTATTTGTCCTCGCACCATTTATTCGAGAACGTAAAAATATTCGTCCCAAAGAAAGGAGTGTCACGACAAAAAGTTTTTTCTTTTCTTCATAAACTGCAATAATGGAATCGCCCCAGAAACCACACGAAGCTACGGGATGTGGCAACGGAGCTTTCAAATAGCTTTTCGCTCCACGTGCCGCGTAGAAGGTAGTGCATGACACACGTAGACGATACGGGTCCAAGGTCCGACGCGGCCCCAGCAACAGTCGTATATATATACCTACTCGCTCCCGTCCTACCACTTTCGCCCTCATCACCTGCTGATGGTCTGCACCGTTGGCTCGCGATTCCCGGGAATTTGGGAGACCCGATGTACCTACTCTCGTCCTCTCGCGTTGCACCTGCTGTGCGTGTAATGTATTCATACACGTATACGATTCCTCTCTCTCTCTCTCGTTCTTTCGGCTGAAACTTTTGGGCAGCGCGTCATTCGACGCTGTGCCCGCAATTTTTCATTACCCTGTACAAGCTGCAACTGCATCGACAATTTTATGAGAGAAAAATTACAGTAAATTCATTGTTAGATTCCAAAAATTTCAACGTTAAAAGTAAAAATAAAAAAAAAAAAAAAAAATTATTTAATAAAAATGACGTGGATGAGGATGAAGTTTCACGAGGTATTTATTGACGATGCCCGAATATTTTCAATCACATTGGAACGAGTGTACATAAACGGGCGATCCGTCAATGATTGGGTTCACGCATGTAGGAATGGAAAAGATCGACGAGTAGGTATATTTATAGATCAAACGCAAATTTCGAAATTTATCGACGCGCGAGTAAGGTGTACGTGGGTCGTTCAAACAAACGTTGGCTCTACAACGAGTATAGATATCCTATAGCTAGTAAGCAAACATCGTCTTGAGTATCGATGGTATATATAGCCTCGTCTTGTACCAGAATAACGATTGGGTATATATTTAATTTGGTGTCGAAGCAATCATCATCCCCAATAACAGTTTTTGCACCCCCTTTTAAAATTAAAATAGTGGAGACTCAAAATGCATTCGAAAGGGCACAATCTGACAAACCAAAGCCAAAAGGGCTCGAGCGCGACACGCTGATGGATCTTTGAATACCGCGACGGACCATCATCAATCACGCGTCTTCTGACAGGTTGCTCGAAACTTCTCCCTTCTGCACCACTCTTGTTTCTCTCCTCCCCCCCCCCCTCAGAGCCTCCTGTATATTAGTAGGTATGGGTATACAAGGAACAACAGATGCAACCATCGGAGTCGTTTTCACTCTCCCTCGCGGGAAAGCACGGAAAAGCACCTTATTCAGCAGCGACACGGGAGATGGAAAACAATGAAGCAGCTCCAATTTTTGAAATGATTTCTGATTGCTAAATTTGACGGGGAGGGAAAAATAAAAGGTTTTATTGGAGACGGGGAAGAAAAGCTCGGCATCGGTTGTCGCAGACTTGCAAAAAAAAAAAAAAAAAAAGGGACAAGAAAACGAAAAGAAAAAGACGAGAGGAGAAGGAAGGAAAAAGGATGGCTCCCCTCCATCGAGAGCTCCTGCTGCTGCTGCTGCTGCACCGGGTGCACTTTTTACACGGACGCGCACACGCACGCGTGTTCGTCAAGAGAAAGAGAAAAAGAGCGAAGCTATATAAGTACATACAAGTATATCACACGTATAAGTGATGGGCGCGGCGCTGTGGTCTCCTTCCCCCCTTTTCCGCTGTTGTTGCGCTACGTTCACGGGACGTGACATCTTTCTCTCTCGGCTCTTGCGACCTTGAAGCTAGGCCCGACCTTGACCGCGTCAGCTCCAACCCAGAGCTGCTCTCCCTCTTTCGCGCGCACTGCCAGCACCCCCTTTTTGTGTTGCTACCCATATGTACACTCCCCTCGTCGAACTAAAACACCCTCTCGCGAGCGTGTGTGCCTTATACATGCAACTCGCAGCCCCTAGTTTCCAGCAACAGTCCCCCCCCCCCCAGTTTATTTTTTCTTTTCGTACCACCGCCGCGACCATACTTTGTATACCTATACCAACCACCCTGTTTCCGCCACCCCTCCTCCCCGAGGATTGGAGCGCGCGCGTTTTTTTTTTTTTTTTTTTTTTTGATCCTTCGACCTTCCCATCCGTCCTCTTAGCGCGCGAAAACGATTTGCAAATGGTCGTGCTTGCATTGTAGGAGTCCATGTGCATATTACATTTCAACTGGCACACCACCTCCTGCTTCCTCGGTGCTTCAGTTACCACCCACCCTTTACGCGTGTGTGTTGGATGGTGATGACGATAAAAGTCACCACGTCACGTGATTCCGGTGCAGCTCGCGAGGTATTTGCACAATGTAAGCCCTCCCTCGCTCGCGAGTAGCCCATGCTGCGTTTATGCATCATCATCGTCTTGTTTTTTTTTTTTTTTTCATTTACATTTTTTTCTGGTGGGAAAAAGAAAAAAACGAAAAAGGAGGGCAAGGTATATAGATGCTCGTCATTTTTTTGTTTCCACTGGGACCCCCATCTGCACGTGGATACACTCGAAGCGCGTTTTACACTGATACTCGTGGTAGTAATACACGAGTATCCCTCCGATGGTACTTGCTTATTTTTTATTGGCCATCTTCGACGGGACAGCTGGCTTTTGAGGATCGGCGGTGAATGAACGTACCGATGACGGCTATTTGCAGGCGATGTGCGGTTTTTTGGCGCAAAGAGAGAGCCAGAACGGCAGTTTTTTTTTTTTTTTTTTTTCGAGAAGCAAGCAGTGTTGTAAATCGAAATTTTGGAGACGAGGGGTGGGCTTAAAATTGTAATCTGTGTGCCACCGTAAACCCATAAATTCGAGAAGCTAGTAGAACCTCTTTTTTTTCCAACTCATTTAATTTTACTTGAATGTATCAACCAAACGATGCTTCGTTTCTCTCTTGCCTGTTCATATCCCACAAGTTTTGTCAACTCTTAACTAGGACATACCTACAGGGTGTTAATACATGACTACCGGGTAAGAGAAACTGCAATAAGTAGTCTTGGATGGGAGTGTATTAAATATAAAAATATATCCATCATAAATTGAATTTTTCTTTAATTTCAACAGGTAAAAATTACTCATTTCAAAGTCTAAAATGAAAAATTTCCATCCCTGAGTTACCCAATTATATAAAGATAGAGCAATTGGGCACAGTTTCCAAGTTCAAGTGGTAAAAACAATTAAATGTTGTACCAAAAATTCAACAATGATTTTTTAGTATTTTAAATCCATGACATGAAAGTTTGGGCCTCAAACAAGAGAATTAAAGGGCTCCAACTGAAAAAACGATTCCATTGAGGAGATGATCGACACTTTGTACACACGTGTGTACAGTTGTTTGAACCACTATAAGATTCCGAGATTTGCTGTACATACCTATATATCATCAAGTAATTTGTATATTCATAGTCGCTGCTATACTACAGATGATCATTTGAAAGCATGCACATGTCAAGTATCGTTTCTAAAAGAATAATTTTCCGGGAGGACATAAAGGCTGATTATAGAACAAGTTCAATATTTTTGAGTTCTCTATGTCGCAAACAAAATATTACACACACACACACACACATAAGCTACATGGTTAGGGAGTAAAAATGATAACTAATCTTTAATGCTATATATTGTGATGTAACATTACCAAAAACCATTCCCATTGCCAAAAACCAAAAACCATTACGCATTGGTTAAAAATTAAAATGATCTCTCAAGTTTAAGACTAGAGGCAGCAATATGCAAGTATGATTTATGCAAAGAAAATACGTATTTACTTAAGTTAAACTTGGGACACTTTGCTTGCATAAAACAAGACATAAGAGATTGAACAAGGAATGCCTCGACAGAAAGTTTTGTGTTGTCGACTGAAAACTATTTATCTAGTATATCAGTAATTACTGTCGACTATAAATAAAAATTAAAATATTTACCACTCAACTCTTACCACATTAATTAACTAACAGTAGTAGATGTTGTGTCAAAGTGTCGAAATAACTAATAGAATAAACAGTTTTTTCAAACTTTCATGAAAAGAAAAATTTTGAATTTCGCGCCAAAAACGATGCCCGACGTTGATTGAATGCGCGTTCTGGACAAGTCGAACATTTTCCATGCACAACACAAAACTTTTTTTAAATTAACCAATCTTGTTTGTTCCTCAACAATAATTATAACTACTATTTCCTATTAAAATATCATTAACTTTGGAAAAGGCAGGTGTAGTGTACTTATTTAACCCGCGTAAACTTAGGCCAAGCCATGTGCTTCCCGGCAAGTTGCCACTACGTCGGCTGGTCCTCGGACATCAGCAATTTTAGCGATAACTAAGCCGAGCCAAGCTTGGATAACAATAACCCGTGTAGTGGACGGTTAAATAAAGACAATGGACTCACCTCTGTCGAACTTTTTGCCATCGGGATCGATATCTTTGACGTTGAAAATATCCTCGAACAGCACGCCCGCCATTGTGACTCAGCTGCTGGTGCCGCCGCTGATGCGATGGGAGAAAGAAGCAGACAACTTACCTATACCCATGGGGAATCGGGAATATAATGACAAATTAAGCTGGTGAGAGGGCGCCAGCTAACGGTGAGCATGTCGGCCATCCCCCATAAGTCTCCGCATGTGTGGAATATTCGTCGTCCGCTATATCCGCTACAGGTGGCGGGTGTTTGTTGACATGTGTATGGTTATTGTTTGGTGTAGTTTTGTCAAGTATTAAAAATGAGTGACGTGGAAGATTTACTCTGTCAGGACAAGGATCGGGTACGATTTTGTTTATTTATCATGTATTTGTATAGGATTTGTCGTCGTAAGGAAGATAAATAAAAATTTTAGGTTATGTTTTGTTAAACATAAAACATACACTCCTGGATTGTTTGCCATCATTTGAAATTAATTGTAAAGTTAGTTAGTGTTCTTTTAGTTGTAACAAAAAGTTTTATTTTGCAGTCAGAGATCAGAGAGGAGTTGTCAAACATGAGTTTTGAGGAGTTGCAGAAGTTGAAAGAAAAAATTGGGACAAAAATTTACAATGCCACTTTGTTTGGGCCTAAAAAAGCTAAACGATTGGCAACGGCATTCAAAAGAATAAACAAAAACAGACCACGCGAGGAATCGGCAAAGAAGCCAGTTACACGTTTTCGAGAAATCGTGCCTGTTAAAAAGACCCGTTCGAGAGATCCTAGATTTGACAGTCTTTGCGGAGAATTCAATGAAAAAGCCTTTAAAAACTCTTACCAATTTCTCCACGAGTATCGTAAGAATGATTTGGAGCAATTGAAAAAGCAGTTGGAGACCGAGGAAGATCCAAAGCAAATTAAAAAGATTAAATATCTTGTTCAAAGATTAGAAAATCAAATTAGGGAGGTGGAGAAAAAAATTGAAAGAGAAGCTAAGGAACGAGAAGAAAAAGGAGAAATTAAAACGTCTATTAAGCAGGGAGAAAAACCAGTATTTAAAAGAAAATGTGAGTATAATACCATTACAGAATAATTTAATGTTAGTATGTATCATTACAAAACTGTTTCTTTATGTCAACAGCTGAAAAACGTATTGAGAGTTTGGTGTCGCAATTCGAAGAACTTAAAAATTCTGGTAGATTGAAAAAACATATCAAGAGATTGAAGAAAAAGAATTCAAAGAAAGATCGCCAGAGACTCGAAAATTCCGTGTCAGAATAAAGTATGGTGTAAAGACTATTTTTGTTTTGTCTTATTAACAATATATTGCTTAATCACGATGAAATATTTTTCATATAAAGGTAAATGTGTACATAAATAAAGTTTATCGTTAAAATAAAATGTATTTCGTTTCAAGTGTTATGAGAAAGTTTGGACATCATAATTCAAAGTATTCAAATTTCCAAAGAAATGTTTGTGCAATTAATTCTAAAATACTTACCTACAGCCTAATGCGGTTCCTTCAACATCATCAGCAGTAAATCTTCGATGTGTGATGCAAATCATATCATACATATACATAATCAAAGAAATGGAAATGCAAAAAAGTAAAAAAATGAATAGATGACAAGGCTCTCCGAAGAATAGAAACCCTCTATTAATTACGTATTTTTTATTTAACATCAAAAGTAATGACACTTGGGTTGGACAATGTCTCTCGTTATTTTGTTTGTTTGGTTTCATTTTTGTTTTTTTTGTTTTTTATCTTAATTTTTATTCGCGTGTGAAAACAGAACTTATCGTCATAGTAATCATATGAAAGAAACGATTGAATCGGGAGTTACAAGAGTTGGGGTATATATAGAGCAGTGTAAGTTATACGTTAAAAATTGTTTAACTCTCCTTAATATTCTGACTCTCACTCGCTCTCATTCGCAATTAACACACTATATTTCATTATGCATCGCGTGCGCGCTACTAATACTTAGTACCTCTCTTGCATCTAACGTCCCACCAAACGTATACCCCTCGTCGTTTTCCTTATTCCATCATACCGATTCATCTCTTCCCGATTCCTCTTTTAACCCGCGTTTTATCTGTCCAATCACCAATCGAAGCTTTTCACTAAAAGTTAACTCACCCACCAAGCTTCAATCGAGATCCCTTTCGAATTTTCCATCGCCCCCCTCAGCCCCGATAATAAATCATTTAACTTTCAACGAAAGCCTTCGATCACACCAAAAACACGTCGTTCACTCTCGAATGTTATATCCCTCCCTCGACCTGAAAAAGGAATAAACCTCATACCAAGTGCGCGCGTACTCAATCCCGTATATACCGTGGGGCCATTTTACTATGTAAATATAAGTGTACACAGAGAGCTTGAGACTCGCTCGTTCTCTCGAATCTTTATGTCCAATATGTAGGTGTTTCACGTGATTTATTGTTAAACGAATACCACCCTGATCTTGTCGTGACTTTGAACCTCAGCCCTCTGTACCTTATACAGTACAACGTGCACCCCCTGTACGACGCGCACCTTCTCCCTTTTTTTCATGAAACTTCCGACTGCCAAACCGACTCTTGTTTTTGTTTTTCCCCTCGTCCTCGCCGTATCCTTTAATTTATTTAAAATATGTACAATATATATTAATAAAACAGTATTAAATTTTATAAGCCACTACACTTGCGTATCGACTGTCCCTTTTGTCGTTATTTCCCAATGCTTTAACATTAAACGCGGTATACGCACGTCCCACGACATAACGCACTCACGCGATCGTAAGTGAAACTGGCGGACTGTGACGGGCCTCACCGCATCTTATTTTTCCATTTATTTATTTTTTTTCTTCAATCAGAAATCAACGAAACCCTTGGGCCGCAACCTTGTATATACTCACGCGAAGGGGGCATTTATATATGTGCATATATTTCTCGCTACGACAAACTAACGTTATATATTTTTTAATACTTGATCAGCCGTTACGTTCTTATTGTTCCTCTATACGTTACAATGTAATATTATCTTGTTATATGATATAATATACGTAATACACCAATCAATACGTCGAATATCGCTTGGACACCGTTCAAACACGTTATTTGGAACAATTTATAATTTTACTTTGCCGCTTGCCAGGTAAGCACACACGTACGTAGAGTACATTAATGGGTGCAGGCAGTATTCTCGATATACGCATGTTGATATCGTTGTATTTTTTGTACGAATATATGTTACATCATTAATATACATGATACACAAAGCCTTGCGATGGTAAAAAAAGCACATTACAATATCGTCCATCGATTTGTTGATTTAGGTTTTGGATCAAGGGTTTCGCTTTTTTTTTTTTTTTTTCAATATCACCTTTCTCTATTTCCCCATGTCGTTGATTTTACGGAGTCGTCACGGTCTTCGTTTTATTCAATCATCGATCGATTTTCCATGAATAGCGGATTTCACGCGACAACAACGCGACCTTCTCTCACATATCTTTATCATCGCCACACCACGTACAACGTGCGCACACACGTCTATATTAATTATAATAAAAACATATGCAGACGTTGTTGATGTATAACCGGTGTTTTATAATCGAAAAGTAATAAATGATAAAAGAGGCACATAGTGATATAAGAGGAGAAATGAATATAATATACAGAGTATAAGAGTATACACAGGAAATTTTTTTAACAATGAAAGACTCGTGTGTAATAGAATAATATAATTTTTAATACAAACATCTAAACATAAAATAAATAAGAAATGTGACTGAAAGAAGAGACAAAAGCATATGTAATGCAGAATTTCATATATGTATATTGTAGATTCATGCGCATCCCGTACAGTCCGCTATATTTTGTCCAGAATTATCAATTGATACAAGCGTTCGATTCATCAAATACCGTAACTCTGATTTTTTTTTTNGGAGAAATCCTCAAGAGGTACAGGGTGAGTATTATTTGGAGCTCCGTATGAAGAGCATCGAAACGACGAGCATCGCATACCCCACACATTAATGATTAATTTATTATTATCATTCGTTACTATATAACAAGAGCTGGTATGGCGTTAAAAACTAGAAATCGTAAGGAAAACTAAGATAATCAATTGAGCTGGTTAAGATTTATTACTGCTTTTTTCATCTACTTGCAAATAATGCGTGTGGAATTTAATTTTACTTTTTTTTTTCATATATTACTTATTTATCTTACTTTACTTTTTTTAATCGCGATTTCTCACTTCACCCTAAAACAGCGTTAAACTTTGGATACGTTTTAAATTTTATTTTTGCGTTCTGTGCTCCATAGTTCTTTGTTATCGCGTAATTTCAGAATATTTGTTTGTTTTCTTTGATCTAATCTACTTTTTTCGTCAATCATCGCACGCTGTAATTTGCAATTTCGAGGTAGATGGAAATTTGTTGTTTTTCTGGATCTATTTCTCATAATCAGTATACCAGTATATCTCGGATGTTATGGTGGGTGTTTTGTTTTTGTGTCAAGTTTACAATCATTTAACATGAATTATTTATTGAATCAGTTTTCAATACCACTTTTTTTTCAATTTTGGCTATTCATTTTATTTATTTTTTTTTTTTGTCGTATATACTCTGCGGACACATTCTCCCCGTAACACACAGTGTTCATTCTTGGGTAATCTGAGAAATGAATATAATATACAGAGTATAAGAGTATACACAGGAAATTTTTTTAACAATGAAAGACTCGTGTGTAATAGAATAATATAATTTTTAATACAAACATCTAAACATAAAATAAATAAGAAATGTGACTGAAAGAAAAGAAGAGACAAAAGCATATGTAATGCAGAATTTCATATATGTATATTGTAGATTCATGCGCATCCCGTACAGTCCGCTATATTTTGTCCAGAATTATCAATTGATACAAGCGTTCGATTCATCAAATACCGTAACTCTGATTTTTTTTTTTTTTTTTTTTTTTTTTTTTTTTTTTTTTTTTTTTTTTTTTCTTTCACGATCTTGGACCGCAAAATAGTTATAACCAGCTCGTAATCGTTACATCGTACCCTCTTCATTAACTCGTCTTGATTTTTTTAAATATTTTTTATATTTTTCTTCTTTCTCCTCACACTCCGTTTTTTGCTCTCACCGCTTATTTGTTTTATCATTCATCTTATTTATTTGTTTTTTTTTTTTTTATTTCTTCTTTTAAACCTTATTCCGTACTTTGTTTTTTTGTTTTGTTTTGTTTTTCTTCAACAACACGATCTAGACTAAACCATGTATAATAATTACATCTAATAATATCTTACTGTAACATGTATTATATTATCGTTATTACTAGTATTATCGTAATTGTAATAATAATAATAATTATCATTATTCATTATATCGTTTATTTATTTATTTTTTGTTCATTTGTCAAATTATTAGCCTAAGTGAGATGCAGCGCACGGTGGCAAAGCAATTTTTTTTAATTAATTTTTTANTTCATTCTTGGATAATCTTATCGTTATTACTAGTATTATCGTAATTGTAATAATAATAATAATTATCATTATTCATTATATCGTTTATTTATTTATTTTTTGTTCATTTGTCAAATTATTAGCCTAAGTGAGATGCAGCGCACGGTGGCAAAGCAATTTTTTTTAATTAATTTTTTAATTTTATTTGTTGCTGGGCTCATTCTACGAGTGGGGGGAGCAGCCCCGGGCCCACGGAACACCCTGTGCGTCGACAACCGCGGGATCTCTCTTTCACTTTTTTTTCTCGACTCATTTCCACGTTCCGGATCACTTGGATATCTATTCGCTCCTCGTTAACTTTTTTACCCATTCGTCGATTACTTAATTAATTTGTTCGTTCGATTTAACGTGTGTAAACGTTCTTATTGTACAAAAGAACAAAAAAAAAAAAAAAATATAATCTCGATGCCGAGCAATTCGTCATTATGATGCTTCGGGTAATAACGTGTGTAGCTTCTCGATGCTAAAACAACCCGTTCTTTTTGGCTTTGGTTGCTATACGGTTCCGTCACAGGCTGGTATCACCTCGTATACACAGGTACACGGAGCTTAAGTCAAAGAGGAACACAAGAATTTTCGGAAAAAAGCGCACAGAGCCTTCCATCCTTTTGGTAGTTTTGGTGCATTACACGCGTACACCTCACGGTCTCCCGAAAATGACGCGTGCCCTTTTTTTTTCAACGACACTCGACTAACACCGATACACGCGTACGGCGGTTGGATCTCACGGGCGTCGGTGACTTGTTTTTTTTTTTTCTTTTTTATATTTGATTGCGCACACGCGCTTCGTTGCCTTTTCCGTAGCTCGCACTCGTCTTGGTATATTATTCCTCATCTACTTTAAAG